TGTAAAGACAATATACATGACCTGTACATTACAAATAATAAAATATGTTTCTTTAAAAAAAGAAAAAGAAATAAATCACAGAGATAATACAAAAACAACGTAAAAAAAACTTATCTTATAGTATAGTACTATATTATAGTTAATAGTTACACAATACATTATTATAATAAATTATACCTTATACTGTGTAGTTTAAATTGTTACATAAATAATCATCAACAATTTTCTTGATGAACATGGTAATATTATTATATGGTATTTATACAGAAGATATTGTCAACAAATTATACATTCAGTCACACGCATTATTTTACATAATAATAATATTGAATTATAAATAAGTGTAATAGTAGTATATATAGGTAATGTATTGGTACCAAATGACGAATAATGTAAGTATATGGATCGCATACGGTTTATGAGTATTATTATTTATTAATGACACAAAAAAACCGTTTATTAATGAATCGTTATTGTAACATAATTTATTATTTTCTGTGAATTAATGCCGAAATCTAGATGGAACAGCCAGTTGATTGTTTGAAGTGAACGCTTATTATGAGGGGAATTTAGGGGGTCAATAAACACGAAAGTGCGAAACAAAGATTTGGTTCATTTCCGCACGTATTCAAAAGTAACTACAAGAGCATGTCGTCACTTCTGTGGTTACAGGGTTGGGGAGGTTAAGGGCTAAATGATTTTGGGAATTAAATAAAATAAAATTTTATCAAGTTTTCACCTACATGGCTACCTGTAAGTTTCACGAGTGTGATAATAATATGGTTGTGATTTTTACACGAACGGTTTCGTGACACAAATTCAAACAGTGTTACCCAAAGTCTCCAGTGATGGTAGTGTCACAATCAAAATAACTTGTATCGTTGGCGGGTGATTGTTGTGCATTGTTTAGAAAAATAGCATAATATAGGTTTCCTTTAAAATACAATAATCTGAAGGTAAAACTAATGATCGGGGGCGATAAACTGATAGTTAATGAGGTTATCTAATCTTTTTAGAGGCGAGAGCTGCTCAGTAGTCATTCTTTCGTCGAAGAGAATCATCGAAAGTATTTATTTGTGTATGCTATGATATTATAATATTATGATGGAAATGCGTTCTCACGGCGATTCTCAATCGGCTAACTCGCGATCGATTTCACAGGTCAATAAATAATAATATTATATATTTCTATACCTATTTCCTTGCGTGCGTATATGCGATGTAATATTAAAAGCGAAATTCGGTTCGGAAACTACGACGACGATTCATATTATGACGTATACGATTGTACACTGCAGTGACGTTCCGAAAAGTTTATTTTATTAGTTTATTAATGTCGGTGTTCATAAAGTCAATCTACGATGGTGAATATGTGAGTATTACTGTGAGTGAATATCGTGGGTATTAAATCCTTGGTGATTAAAAAAAATTGGTTGGCCACGTCACTGAAACTCAGTGTTCCTATATTAATAATAATCCATTCTGGATTCACTGACAAATGTGTGATAAAACAAATTGAACGAAACGGAGTAGTTATAGGTACGTAACATAATAAACACAATTGTCACAGTCGATCTCAGAGATTCATATTATTATAAGTTAGAACATAAAATCGTTATGCTTCTGTTATTTTATCATCATTAGGTACTGTTGGCAATATAATATATTTTCTACTTATTACTTATTAGGTAATATAATATTATAATATCCTGTGGTCTATAACAAAAAAATGTCATATACGCGGTGAAAGTAAATACAATTTTTTTTTTAATCTTTCATTATCGACACATACATACCTAACTCGCATAATGTAATGATATAACCTAGAAGAAGTCTGGGGTATGTGGAAATATATTATAATAATTTTTCGTGATCGTTCGTTTTGAGCAATTTATACCGAGCGAAAATTATTGTTTTTATATAATATCCATTAAATAGAAAACAGTTCCGATTTCGAAATGTTTAATACTTATAAAGTGTATCCATGATTTTCGAGTAGATAAACGATTTAAAATTGGTTAAAATAGAACGAAAAGGACGTCGGTAATTGATTTTTCTGTTACGAATCATTGATCACTGACTAGGTATCTGAGAAAAAATCCATACACGAGTGAGACGAATGAATTAAACACTTATAAGTATTATATCTTCACAAATGGCAAAAATATTTAAACGAAAACTGTGATAAATTTGTCTTTGTTATGTTTTTACTACGCTGAACATATTTTTATTATTTTAAAATAAAAAATAAAATTATGGAGTTCGGTATCATTCATACATACTCTAAATAATAAAAATATTTAGTTCACACATTACGAGTATATTGATATAGATATATCTTGTATACCTTCTAAGTACGAACAAGTAACATTTTCTTATTTTATTACAAATAGTATTTTTAACAATACCAACCATTATAATAATATATACTGCAAACTATAGGTACCTATATACTCGTATATATGTAATAATATGTATAGTATATAATATATATAATGTAATATAAACTTAAAAATTATAAATTTTTTTTTAATTCACAAACAGTAGCATTAACATTAAAAGCAGTTTACACCGATAGTTCAACGATGCCTACTGATAAAAAAACCACAATAAATCAGTAATCATAAATTCATCTTCCAAAATAAGATAATGAAACAATACATAGGTACGTAGAACATATTAATATATTATAATATTAACAACCTCTTATTTTCTCATGAATGTTGACCCATTATGGACGAGTATAATAATATTATTATGTTAATAGTGTGATTTTGACATGTTATGCACTATAGTCTATAACTACCATAATATATCAGTGACCCTGAGTTTTCTATACATTTTAATAATATTAGGTATATATAATTTTTTTTTTTTATAAGGCTATAATAATATTACACGAGTCACACTTTTATTATAAAACTTATTTTTAATTTTTCTTATATAATAATTAATATAATAATATAATATACGTTTATGAAAATAATATCAATCGAATATATAGGATTAATGATAAATTGATAAGTATAACGTTAAATGACTAGATACTACATCGTTATAATTGGAATACACGAAAATCAAACATCGACATATGTACTTAACTGCACTATATAATATTACCATATAGTATATAATATGATTTAATAACACTATAATAGTAATGTAAGTGGTAAGTATTAAAGTATGGTAGTAACTGTATAGTAGTGGTAGGTAGTTAATAGTAACGATAGTCATGGTAGTAGTGTAGTAGTAGTAGTAGTATAAATTGTTAGGTAGTATAAGTAGGTATTATAGTTGTCAATAAACTGTTGTCCTTAATAGCTAACATTAAAAATTATGATTCATGTAAAATATTATAAAAATTACAAATAGAGTACCGGAACGAAAAGAAAAAAAAATAGTAAATCCATTTGGGCGAATAAAAATATCCAATTCATATTTGCCAAGCTATTTTTTTTTTTATATTATGTTTACGTACGTTAAATGCGTTATGCGCGTACGTGTGATATATCGATTTTAGCACCATAAATACGATTTATACATTAAACATATTAATATCATTAGATATACTATATCATACTTAAATATGCGTTAAAATACAAATAACTGATAGTATAATAATAACACATTCATAGAAATAGAATACGTTTTACTAATACGTTAAAATTAAACACTTAGAGCAAATTTTAAGAAAAAAAATATATATATATATATTATATTTTATATAATATGTCATCACGGCACACAGCGTTCATAATATTGAAGACCATCGTCTCAAAAAAGATATGAAGAAACGTCTTAATGTTAACAATTGAAAATATGATATCGTAATTTGATATATACATAATACATTAATACCAAGGTAATATATCGTCTTCCCTTAATGTTATGTATTATATTATATTGATAATCGTTGGTATATTTCCAACCCATTCATAACATACATTATACACATATTAAAATTACACGATTTTTTTTTTATAGGTAGGTAGTAATCAAAATATTATTAAGCGTACAATGTACATAATTATATAAATACGTCAAAATTTCAAAAGTAAATATTATTATCGTTCAGAATAACATTTTATGTTGTCTTTTGATTTATTCTACAAAAAATTTGACAATTTTTTATTATAAGTGTTATCTTTGTATTTTTTACGAAATAATGACTTTTTTTATGCTAATTTAAGAATAACATTTCTAATTCTAATTATTATGACATAACCGGCAACTACGAATAATAGTGAATCGTTATAATATTTTAATATTAAAACCTATGCATAATACTGAAACAACGAAGTTCATCGATAAAATTATTTAAACGGAGGTCGTTAAACAATTTTGATTTTATATATTAATACATTATAATGTATAGAACACTGTAAGCTATACAAAATACTAAGTAGTGACGAGTAGGTACCTCTACATGTTCGTATATTATTATGTTATATACTTATATATATAGGTACTTGTGTATTATAATGGGTTCAAAACTATAAACTATACTACCTACTACGCTATATAATACGACGACAACTATACGGTCGACTCCATCCTTAACACAAATGAAAAATGTATTTTACCATTAGAAGATATGTTACACGCGTTAATCATAATATTATTAATTTACGGTGATCGCCAACTGTACACAAAAATACAATAGGGCCGGGCGATCGCCATCAGTAATCTCACTATAATGCCTAGTCAATATGCCTGGAAGCGATATTTCGTACGATAATGCTAAAAATCAAACGTAAAACTCAAATTAATATTCAAAAACTCGGTAAAAATGTTATTTACACTTTGTAACAAAATATCATATATATATACACACAGTAATTTATAATATACGCGTAAAAAAATACATAAGTATAGGGTATACATAAAAATGGAACTAAACACGAGCCTGCGATTCAAAATATACATGTATATAAAATATGTATAGTTGTAGGTATAGTGAAGCTTTAAACAAACATATTATGATTCTTTAGGTTAACATTTTAAGGGTCACATTCGGGTTTATATCCCAAATTTTTCCGCTGCAAGAACAGTTGTATTTCGCGAAAATTCGGACGGCTTTTGTCGTCTCTCTGCCAACACTCGCACATGAGATCGTAAATTTCTTTGGGGCAATTGATCGGCTGAGGCAACAGGATCTGAAACGAATTAAACAACACAATTAATTCACAATGTTGTTAATGATTATAATAGTTGTAGTATTGAACAAAACCGTATTTCCTGCAAAGCCAATTTTCTTTTCCAACAATAATAGAGAATTTATTCATGCTTTGAAAAGTATTCCACAGATCAAAGAAATGTGAAGAATCGAGTTTTATAGTTATGAAACCATTAAGTATTATTATTATAAAATAATTCCAGAAACATCTCGAGTTTCTCATAAAAATATCTGTTTATAGTATTCCATATATAAGTCAACAAACTAGTTATATTTAATACCAATTTTATAGTATGTATGTAACTAGCATTCAATAAATAATAACCATAAAATTGTATATACTATATATATATATATGTATACATATTCCTACGAATAAGCTGGGAGTATTCAATACAGCTTTCAAGAAGGTGCACCTACTGTTTTCTAGTATTAAATATGAATTAATATTGAACTAGAATTATTTTTCTTTGAACTCTATGTTCAAACAATTAATTGAAATTTCATTTGAAGCATTAATATTTACTGATTGAGCTTTTCAAGTTAAATAAATAAATATTTATATATGTTTGTGAACTATTTTCAAAATATTTTTAGATTTTTTAGTTTATTATTTTTAAATATATCGATACAACTACTAATTTACCAAGTATAGTTGATATTTTGTTTTTATTTTTTTTTTTTAAACTGTTTTGAAAGAAAATTTACCAATAGAAACATGCGTTGGTTTTAAAAATTAATGTTATAATTCTTTCATAAAACAAATTTAAAATATAATATTCTTTCGAGTTTTTAATATATAATAATTTATAGCCCTATAGAAGAACATAACCATATGTTGGGTTGTTTTATATAAATAAATTATCGTACACGTGTATATGACAATATATTTATTTTATATTCGTGGACGACAAAAGAGGGAGATAGAGAGTCCCACCCATTATTTTTAAACATTTATATTTTTCGTTGGTGATAAATGAAAAATTATTTTATCGCGAGTTGAACACTGGGCGTGTTAGTATACAATATTTACTTCTGAACTGAATAATAAGATGTGCGGCACTGAATCGTCTTTAGACCGTAGTGGGAGGGGATGTGAAACGACGGTAAGGTAGAAGTTTTTTTTTTTTTACTCGTCACAGTAGTACAATAGTACCCTGCAGTATAGTTATAGTATGGTATCGGTGGGTAGCATTTATAGCGGTGTAAAATATGAAAATGAGAAACCGTATATACACCTTTTTCTCCCCTCCGAAAACGAAGTTCAGCAACTTAACGAATTTCGAAGACACGTTTTTCACGACTCCCGGTGAAAAGTTGATTTCACATGTTTATTGTGAAGAATAAAATATGTGGTAATGGTAAAAAGTAAAAAAAAAACTAGAAATTGATTAAATTGGCGTTTAAAAATGTATTATCCACGAAAAAAAGTAATGAAATATACTTGGTAATATATACTGACAGACCGTTTTCGCATACAATCGCTTTTCACGTAGGTACAATAATGATAAAATACCATTAAATTCAAATTTAACACATATCAGCTGCATAGCGATACTAACTTGCACACCTTTATCTATTTCGTTCCATTATTGAAAATTCGGTACAATAATATAAAAATAAAATAATAGTTGATTTTAAAACGAAAGAACGTAAATAATTCCAATGTATATTAGTATATTAATGTATATTAGTTACCTACGTACGCAAGACTAAAAGACAAAAATAATTCACAATAATAATTGGGTATACCTATACCCACGCGTAATAATATTATTATTACCGAGTTAACGTATACCAGAATTTCCTATACGAAGCGCCCTTTGTTGTTTATTAAGATATTGGTAGTAACTATTGTGTATTATTGTGTCTACTTGCCAGAGCATTGTTGTACATCTACAAGTTCACCTTGCAACGATATGCATATTATTATTATTTCTGTGCGCTCGAAACGATGTCTAAACGGTGCGGCGGAAACTCGTTCAAACTTTTCGCGTGAACACGGACCAAAAGTTTTCTAATAACAAATTAACAATGGTGCACGTAAAAGTAGTTCGGCCGCACAAAATAATAATAATATATATATATATACGGGGACGTTACGCAATAGATCAATCGAGACTTGAAACCCGAACGGCGTACCGATATTATAATTATTATTATAAAATCGACTCCTCCTGCACAGACTATACTACCTACCGAGTGGAAATACGCGTATGAGATATTTCGCGGTCGTTCTAGAAAATCCTCAAAATATTATCTTGTCATACAATTCACAGGCAAGTAAAATATAAAATCCTAGTTACTCCAGATACGTGTAAACATTATTGTAGATAATATTTAGTTCGTTAATTTGAGGTCACAACTCACAACAGTATAATTATTTGCTGTTTTTTAATTAATGTGTCGGATGAGTAAGGTATACAGTAAAAATTAAATTCTAAAAAAAAAATGTCACTTGGCGCCAGGCGGTTTTAATTATTGAAATCAAACGATGTATAATAGTTTGTTATATTTGTTTGTATGTGGGGTTAGATAAACTATAAAACTGTTGATTTAAAAAAAATACATTTATTTTTTCATTCAATGAGTTACTTAACTTACTTGGCGGCAATTTATACGATTGCCGGGACATATTAGAAGAGGACGAGAAGCTGTATATAAATCTCAGTTAACGCTATCGAATTTTAAAACCAAATGATAATACATATTATGTGTTTCTCGCAAGTATATACAGCGAGTTGTGACCCAATATTAAGTTGGAATATTTATAATATTTTCGTAATTATAATTGTTTGGTAGGTAGCTACGCAAGTAAGGAACAGTCGTAATACAATATCACGTTTCCATATAATGTATATGAAATCGATGGATATGTCACACATACAATACTACAATATGGCGATATTACATAAATTATATAGTAAATTAAAAATGTGACTTCAAAAACAGGCGATGGTTTTTTTTTTTTGTTATGTTAAAATGCTATAACAAATAATAAAACTCACAAAATTGCCGTCGTTCTGGTACAGTCTGGTGACGTTGTCGATGACGTGTTGATCGCTGAGCTCTTCGTAAGGCTGTTCTCGGGCAAAAGTCAGTATTTCCCACAACGTGACGGCAAACGACCATACGTCGCTCCTCGGTGTGTATTTGTTCTGTATAGGAAAACACACGCGAGTGGCGATGTTAAAATAATATTTACAGTATAAACTTCAATAAGTTTCATCATTATCATTGTTATTATTACGACCAATCGATGTGTTTTTTTTTACCAAAAGTATGCTCTCCCACGACATCCAGCGGATCGGTAGCGAAGGTCTTCCCTCAAAGTCAAAATAGTCAGCTGAGTATACGCTTTTGCTCAGACTCATATTGGACACTTTGACCGTATAATTAGGGCCGACCAAACAGTTTCTGTGGAATAAATAAGCGACATGTAAAATAGTAGTTTCAGATACGTCCATAGCTTAATATATCTACTTATAAAATACTATATTATGCTGAAAGATTTTAGTACAAGTCACTAGATCACTTTTTTATCCCTAACCTATACAACGATAAGCAATGAATTTTATTCCATGTCAAATCGCAATTCATTTATTTTTTCGATATTGATTGAAACCATATTTTATTATCCATCTATATACAGGCTTTAAATTGTTTGTTGTTTTTTTATCATAATGTTAGAGCAAGAATATGTTTCTGAAAACTTTGATCCGCAATATTATTGTCATTATTTATTTTCACTAGAATTTATGAACAAATTATACATTTTTTGTTCCGACAAATGTTCGTTTTACTTTTACATGAGTTGAATTACAACGAATTTATACGCCCACAAAAATATGAATACAATTATCTATTTATCTATTTATTACACTCGAATATATAAAATACATTTAAAATTCATACTTATTTGTAGTTTCTGTCAGTTCTATGTAGGTATAATTTTTATTTTATTCATTTTCTCAGATAATTTTATATTTTTATTTTTATATTTAGGTATTTTCTTTAACATGATCATACTAAACATTTTGACTTTAAGTGTGTTGTGGACTTGCAGACGTAGGTACTATAAAGTGTTAGGTATCTAAGTTTGTTCTTTCTAAATATCAGAATCGTTTTTCGTATACAATGATAGGTAGTATATCATTGAATTTAAATTTAATACCATCCATTATAACACAGTGTCCCACTTGTAACCTAATGTAAATCAGAGTGACATCCACTTAACCATTTTATTTTTTATCAAACGATTTATTTATAACGATTAAGAAAAGTATTTCCTACTTTTATCAATAAACAAAATTTAATAAATAATGAAACATGTATGTAAAAAGAGTAAAAATATTATTATATTTTAGGCTTTATTTTGCATATAGTCCAACTTTTAGTACTACATTGGTACTTTAAAGTACATAAAAGTGATTTTTAGTACTATAATTTTCAAGGCTGGATAATACTATACCGTCACAAAAATTATTGTAACATTTCGTTTTGAATTCATCAACAGAGCGTGTTTTAAATTAAATTTGATTCGCAGTACATCGTCGTTATTCGACTGCGCGCTATATTTCACATGTATACAAGATGCTGTTTTTAATAAAATATAATACAAAGGCGAGTCAAAAGTTTTAAGTAAACTTTCACAATGCTCGTTATAGAAATAAGATATATATGTATATATATATATAATAACCGGAATCACTCACCACTCACCAGTCATCAGTCATGGTACCAACGTTTCATTTTAGTGTAAACGTTGAAAATGTATTCGCTACATTCAATAACAACTGTATACCCAAATGAGAAATAAATGTAAAAATATTCATGCAATGTTATTTTAAACGGGTTATTATGCCATGATAAACATATTAATCTTTTCTTTTTTTTTTTTTAATTTTCATGAGCAATCACAATAGTTAAACGTTCAAAAACTTTTATCGTCTTATAATAATTTAATGCGATACACAATTACTTTTATAAATGTACCATCGTAAAATGTTTTGCATAAATAACATTATTGTTTAGGTACGTGAAATATTTAATGAAATATTATCCGAGCAGTGAATCATGTTAAGTAAATTATTTTCAACTGTCTGCTGTGACCTATCTGATTTAGACTTTAGACATTATTATGGTCTTCGCTATCGGTAAGCAGGAAAGAATCATTCTCGATGCCCCCCTCATTCTTACAACATATATATTATCTAGACGGGTATAATTTAAATATGACGTGTTTAAGGATGGAAAAAAAAACAGGAAAAAGAAAATACCGACCTAAAGTCTAAACTCAACGAAGAAATGAGAATAAACTCATTGGAAGCCGACAAATTGTATAATCAAGTCCTGCAAATTATCTTAAAGAGGTAATTTGTATTTGCTTAACAATTATTATTTGTAACTTTACACTATTAACATATATTATTTGTATTCGTAAGCGTAGGTATAATAGAATAAGACTTCACATTAAAATATCACTATTAGCATATAAAAAAATATAAATTATATATGTGTAATTGTCTGAAATTAATTTTACATGTTATATCAATAAGGCAGTGAGCTCAATGAATATTTGCTAATAATATTATGACATGTTTTTTCTGGAATAGTTTTAAACAAAATATTTTATCTAAATAGTTAAGTTTCTGTTTTTACAATTTTTTTATAATTTTAAATAAAAAAATATAATATGAAGAAGAAGAATTTAAAAACTTTTATCCTTACATTATTGTTTGAAACTGTTTAAAAGAATTTTAAAAATGTTTAGTTTTTATAGAAAATGTAGAATGTATGAAATTAATTAAAAACTAAATAAAATATGTTGAAACCGTTATCCATACACCACCCTATTTTTCTTCTCAGAGTAATTTATTTATACGTCTCATCACTCCGTGGTACAATCAATCAACGTTAAATGTACTAAATTACTGTTTTTTTTTTCATAAACACATTGGAGCATTGATTAAATGTTAAATCAATGATTTGAGTGTATGATTTAAGACAATGACGTCGAATATGAAAATGTTTCCATAGATACTTGTTCTACAAGTAGATAATATAGAGGATTCGTTGGAGAACAGTTATTATGCACCAATTACCCTAATAAAAAATATATTATAATTTTATTTGAATATTTTATATTTAAAAACATTTTCTTTATAGGCATATGATTGCAACTGATTTTAACTGGCCATTCGATTAGGTAAGTTATTATTTTAAACTTGGTAGTAAATAATTAATGGCCATTTAATTTATTATTTTTAGTAAATGATAACAAACCAATTACCTATATCATATTATTTATTTTGTGTATTTTTAACGTGTAAAAATAAAATATGTATAGAAAATAATCCTGCAGGTTTACCTATATCTAAAGAATATGAACGTATTGACTCATTGATAACAATTATTATGAAAGACCACAATATTTTAGTTTATGAATATTAAGCAGAATTAACTTATGAGTTATAAAATATCTATATTTACAAACGTTATATTTTGTACTCTGGTAATGGATATAGTTATAATCAGAGTCGATTGTGACTGTGCCAAAGGTTTGAGTTTGTTGAAAAATGCAATCATTTTTAGATCCTATTAAGAAATACTATTAAAGTAAATAATTGTTTTACTATAATATTTTTTTATTATTATAATTTATTTAAGCACTACTGTAATGAGAGACCCATTCAAGTAGGTTTAATAGTTATGTTTAAACTTTAAATAATTGCATTCCACGAAAAACAATTCTTTGCGCCAAATGCGTATCGCTTGTAGCTGCTTCCATTAGTTTGACTTTTATTTCAAACTATAAACAGAATATATTTGACAAAATTGCTTATATGCATATTACATAATGTTCTACATGGAAACTAATAAACCAGTGACTTATCGGCAGTAAACCATTAAATATTTTTGAGATTATTAACTGTTTTTGAGCAGAACGGTTTTTCTTACCTGGCAGCCAAATCGCGATGTACGAAATTGATGACCTCTAAATGTTTCATCCCCGAAGCTATTTGGGTGGCCATGTGTATTAGACATCCATAACTGTAAGATAAATTCGTATCGCTTGTTAGTCATTGCTCATTAGCCATCTTAAGTTGTACACAGATCAGATAAGAAATGTCAAGTAACAACCTTAAGGTTTTCGCGTATGGCGGTATCGGTGCAGCGGTCAGGGCGATGTGTTCCTGAAGAAACTGATTCAGATCACCGTGTTGCATAAATTCGGTTATTAAACAGAATGGTTCCTCGGTTAGGCAGCATCCCAGTACTCTAGTGATATTCGGGTCTCTGATTTTCCATAGGGATTCAACTTCGTCGTAGAAATCGTGCCTATAATATAGATAAAATAAAATATACATACATTATATACCTACTCGGATAACACAGCAAAAACAAATAATATCAGTTTGTGCATGATGGGTACTATCGAGGAAAGTTTTTATTAAATTACTCGTTGATTACGATTTTAATTAGTAAATTGAATTAGAAAATGATTCAAATATTCCAGATGTACATGACTTCTTACCAATCAGAAAAGAAACATAGGTATGCGTACGAGAACCGACACTAGTATATATATGTATACATTACAAGACTATAATAAACTATTATTATGAAATTAAATGATATATTGGAACTGTCTAGACGAAATATAAATTCTGATCACATGGTATTTACGTATACACAAACACACATAATACTCTATTATTGTACACCGTCCTTTTTTTTTAAAAAAAAAAACGTCACCAACGTATTTGAATGTAAGACAGTTTACCTACAAAGTGTTATATTTTGAGACCGAGTAATAATGGGTATATAATATATATTATTATAATAATGCAATAGAGTTGTATGTGTAATGTGTGTCCTAGCACTACCCCTCGCGGACAAACTGCCAACACCCTGCAGTGCAAAAGATTTGTTCAATTAGTCGACTGTGGCGTATAAAATCGTTTTTTACTTGGTCGATTCGGACACGCCTTTTCTCAGCGACTTCACGGTGACCAACTTGCACGTCTTATTGACGGACGACGTCGCTGGCTGTAGCATTTCGTCAGATGGCGTTTTCATTTCGCACAAATGTACCTGCGCATAAACGAATAATATTGTAACATTACGATTTTTTACACATTAATGGCGAAGCAAAATAGAATTTTATTAGGTAGCACATAGGTCTACATAGTGAATATTATAGTTATATTTGAGATTAGAGACGTAGCTTTTACAAAAAAAATTCGTTTAATTGTTTTGCTTAATTGATCTGTGTAAGGTAATTGGGATAAAAAAAATTATAATAAACATTTTATGGGAATATGTAATTATATAGAATCTGCGATTTGTATCGAAAAACTAGTATTGTTCGCACGAGTAAGCCGAAATTTCGGTAGATGAATAATATGGTTGTAGTTAAAACTAATCAAAAAACAATCCCGAAAATAACTGAATTGTTTTAAATCTTAATTTCTAAAAAAACACCACAAAATAACTAATATTGTTTGAACATTTTTAGCATGAATTTTACATATTTTTTTTACTAATATTATTATTTATATATTCACTATAAATTATAATCAAAATTTATTAAAAAAAGATATTTTTTAGAATTTTTACCATGTTTTTTAAATTCGATATATAGTGGGAGTATGGGAAATGTAATATAAATATTTTTGTATCACTTATTCACTTTATTGTGTTTCTTCAAAAACTAGAGTGTAACGAATTATTCTTCAAATAATTCAACCTTGGAAGACACTTAAGGTACTACTTAAGGTACACTTAAGGTACTAGGTACCATTAAATTCGTTAAATCTCGACTATCAGTCTTACTACCTATACATATATATGGCACGATGGTAAAACTATTGTGACTTTGTGCTATATGTAAATCATACATGTAAAGCGCTTTTGAAGACACCTCCATGGAAATTATAATACACAAAAGGTGTTTTTTAAGTCATTGCGATTCGACTGCAAACATTGAGTAATGAGTGCTGTTTTTTACAATTCCTCGATGAGATACTGCAATAATGTTTGTGCATAATAATCCCGTTTATATTTTATTTAGATAACTATATTCTTATTCATAAAACATTTTGTAGGTAGTAATTAATTAAACCTCACCATTTGGTTCAAAAAAGTTAAATTGTATACGGCTATTATAGTTGTGGTTTAATTTTTGGTTGTGTACAATTATTCCAAGAAATTATGAAAATTGTAAATAATAGGTAAGTATATATTTTATTATTTACCCATATTGATGGATATTTAAATGAAAATGTTTTGTTAATATGTTTTGAATGGGTTGGACTTTTACTAAAAAAAAAAACTTTTCAAATAACATAGTTTGATTTTTTTCACCGCTTTTCTATAGAAAAAAAGTATTATATAATACTATTCACTTGCGACTTTTCGTATTATTAGTATATAATATAAAATCAAGGTTAAAAACACGCGTCAAACACAAGACGTTTTCTTAGAAGACCAACCAGACAACTAACAAAGATAATATTTCTTTGTTTGCTTAAGTTTATATTTTGTGTTTATTGTAAATCTAGAACATTGAGCATAAAAAAGTGTGATGAAATAATGAATGAATTAAATTTAAAAATATATACATCAGCTATATTATGTACACTATACACATACATATATAATATTATGTAATATGTATCACTTCTTACCTCTCCAAAATGCGTCTTGGTCAGTGTTTGGACGACGCCCAGGTATTCCCGGGGGATTTCCGGCGGTAACTGGCAAAGCGTGTCGTCGGACCTGGTAAGCGGACAAGTGGACGCGTTGCTGGCACCTCCTCCCCGGCTACTGCTCGACCTGGATGACGTGGGAGGCGGCGATCGGGGTGGCGGAGGGGCATTCACCTACGGAAAATCTCGTTGTGAGGAAATACTTTCTGATACACTATAGTTTAATACCGCTATTCATATTACAGGTAGGTATTTAGGGCTTAGGCTAGTTTTTCCAATGCATTAACTGGTATAGGTACTGTAGTGTAGGTTACCGGTAGTAGTGAGTGAAATTCCAATACACTGAACAGCAATTATAGCGAACAACTTTTACGTATCATTGTACATTTGTATTCGAAACATTTTGTTTTCAAAACCTTTGGTTGTGTTGTTTTATCGTAAACGACGAGTAAACAAAACGTTATTATTATTGTTAATCGGTGAACTAATTGGTTGATCGCGAGTATACCGCCTAATATCATAATATTGTTATTTTGCAGACGGTAAGCACTTAGAAACTAAACACGTAGTTTTGAGTAAACCGATAAATTTGTTAAATAATTATATTAATTAACTATAATAATAAATAATATGTGTTAATAGATTTTCATTGTTCATAATTTCAAAATCAGGTGTCAATATATTATTTTTATAATATAATATTATTATATGGTCGGTAGGTACTGATGAGCAAGATGGGCCATAATATTATTATTATTATTGTCGAGCCACAAAGTTCTTATTAATACTATTACATTAATTTGTGAATTAGGCATACAGTTATATATACCAAAAATACTATTGTTTTTGATTAAAGTAGATTAAAGTATGGCACACAAATACTATATGTATGTGTCATAGTCATATATATTTTAATTCTGAAATACAATATATTATTATTAGTTTATTATTGAAATATAAAATAAATAAATGTTTAGTAAAATTGTATGAATAATCATAAAGTAAAAAGTATTTAATTTATATTTTCAAATACAAATACATAAAATACAGTATTTAAAATATTTTCCAAATAGTCAATTTAAAAATTATTCCAAATACTATAAAAATGTTTAAATACATTTTTCTCAAATACTTTACTTCACCAGAGTTTCGGTAAGTAGGACCATATTATAATTTATAACACAAATTGCGCATTGAATATACTTATAATATATCATTATTTATAATATTGGCGAAATCACTACTAGCGGCGGCTATGCGTACATTATACACATATTATGATATGAAAATCTTAATATTATATTTATGTAAAAACAAACATTACTTACCTACTATTTTTAAGACAAAACAAAGAACTAATAAAATGTTATTTATATGTTTCAAATAATAAATTAGAGTATCATAAAGTTTTAAGTAACACACAGTCAATTTTCTGGAGTAAATGATACTCCGATACAACTCGAACGCTTTAAATTTACTTCGAGTTTCCTCAACAATTTATCAAAACTTCAGACATCAGGAAATTATTAGAAACTATTTTATTCGTGGTCCCGGAAATCAGAAAACGTGGTAGAACTCATACCTTTTAAATGCCTTTGGACAACATAAGGGTGATCCCATAGTTTTCACCACGTTTTTTCAACCTTTTTTTTTCTTATTCTAGTTACAAAAAGTACAGTAGAGTTTTGATAAGTGGTTGTATGCGCATTTTCAATTTTTATACTCCGCTTATGGAAATATATTATTACAATATTACCAATAGAATATTTAACAGCCACGTTAGAGCGTTACCTAAGGTCTTCATTCATATTTCGTTTGCAAACGCCTCTGGCGGGTTAATACTATAGAGTATATTGAATGGTCAACGACCCTATCTGAGTTCTTCAGGAAACCTGAAATTGTTTATCTTTTATTATTGATGCATATATCGAACCACCAGAGCCTAAATAAAAAGCTCCTATATTCATACAACTGTTGATCCTGATCATGATGATTTTGTTAATGTTCGGGCAAGCATATTAATAACACAATCATTTTTAAATTGTTTATTCAAATAAAATATTTAAGAAATATATCTGTTTTCGTACGCATTGAAGATACCTATATTATAATATTATCACAAATTGAAAATATCTATCATATTATAAAATGAAAGATTATTTATTTTTATCTATATAAACATTTAGATAGGTATATTCTCATATTCATTTATGACTAGATAATTTTGCTAAAAAGTATCTTTATTTTATCTGGATATTTGTTTTGTTATCTGGACTAAACACTGTTTATATTATGCGAGTATATACACCCACTAAAGTGCATAAGGACATCCAGTAATCCAGTTGGCCAAACACGGTTTTCAAGATAACCTTGTAATATTAATATATTTATGTAAATTATGTTTGTTAATAATGTTACAAATTAAAGTAAAATCCTAAACAACGCGAAGCATATACCATATAACTTATAAGAATATTGTATGAATATTTAATAATATTATTGACGACTAAATATACTATATACTTCAAATTGTTCAAACTATGTGTTCAAAACAGAAACTGACTATGTGTTCAAAACAGAAACTGATTATGTATCTATTTGTAAGTATATAATATTACAATTGGCATTTGGTATGTGAGCAAACTCAATATTATACCTATCACCGATTCACCGGTGAATAATTTCTATAATTATAACGAACGTCCGTACGTATTCATTTAACGGTTAAGTTCCAACGGCCGTTATTAAACACATGGGCAATGTATACACTTAACGTTTTGTTTGTACAGTTAAGAGGTGTTTTTTGTTTTATTATTATTTCATTTGGACACTGGACGCAGAAAAACCCTTAGCGTTTTGTAAATATAATTGTAACGTGGAATAAAAATCTCGTTTCGTTATTACTTTTTTTTTTTACAGCGAACTATGTGTATGGTTCACATACGCATCGAGTAAACAAAACGATAAACTTTTAGAAACGCTTTTCATCCAAACTCGCGGTCAATGTGTGTATAACGTGTGTTGTGTGTTGTGTAAACTTATCATCGGGTACAACATATCACCATTTCCGCCCAGCTGTTTAAACATAAATATATATAGGTATGTATTATTTTTGTTTTCATTTCATAAAACACGGATTCAATTCTCGCGTAATGTGATCGGCATCTTCTCACCGGCAATGTTATACATTTTTAATCGGAACTCTTTAAAAATGTATAATTCTATTAAAAATAATCAATTCATAAGTGGTTTTCGAGAGTGAATAATTGAACGAATATTCTTCGATTTTATAGATACTCGGCATCTATTATGTATAATCAAATATAAAACGAAAACACGTCCTATAACCCATAATCATTAAAACATAAATGTTTATAATCCATATAGGCACTTTACTATTTTATAAGGTGCTTATTTGAAAATATTATTTGATAAAAACCAAAATGAGTAGAAATTAAATGCCTTTTTTTTTTGAAAAGTAATAATAATGCCACAATGTCATAACATTTTATAAATCTTAAATAAATTCATATTTTATTAAATATGCTGGATGAAATCTGTTGCAAATACTGTGGAGTAACATAAGCATCAATACTACGGAATGTTATATTAAGGACCTATATTATGATTATCGTTTCATAATATTGGAGTTGATAAATTGAAAATAAAAATATTAAAATAAAAAATTACATATTTAGGTCAATGAATAATTTGTGAAAAAAATGGATAAATTTGTAGTATTTATAATTTTAATGACCTGTTAGGCTATAATACATTTAAAATAGTAAAAAAGAATTAAAAAAAAAATCTAATAAATAATACAGTAAATAATAAAAAAAAAAATTCGAATACAAAGTAAAAATACGATAATAAAGGCGAATTGTCTGGGATTTATTCAATCGTTTTCCTTGAATTATTTACTGCGGAATCACGATCGGTCGCGCAAATGCTGTATAAATACGAATAAGTTTCCAGCACCATTGCTTTTGGAAAACAAACGAATGTTTGGCAGAAAAAAAATGGAGTTGTAGAAAGACATAAAAAATAATAATAATAAAAAATTGCTATCGTATAATTATTTGAAAAATATTGTCCCGGTGGTCGTCTCTGCGTTATCGCTGGAACGAAACAAACTCGTAATAAAATACACACATCCGGTCGGAAACGAATAACGATACGAAATATATACGATATTTTTATTTATATAATATTACGTCGTAATAACGAGAACACTTGTAATCGTTTTTTCTTTTATTATTATTCGTGATCGAGATCGACCAATTAAGGTGTGTCTCGTCGGGGACACTCGAATGGGTCGTAATACTGTGTGTAAGTCCTTTGAGCATCGAATACGAATATTATAATATATAATGGGAGGGCAGCGGCGTGCACTTATCGCGTGCTGCTCGCGATTTATATTCATAATAATCGTAATTTCCACACGAATTATGCGAGTAAACTCTTAAAACACGAGCGCAATTACAATCGCGTCTAATTGGTTATGGTTTTTTCATTTTTGAATACGATTAGTAACCACCTCCGTGTTTACCGTGTGTTCGCGATAGTTGAGTTTTGAAAATTGAAAACAATAATCTCGACCTGCAGTAACCTAGACAAAATATACCCACTGGCCCCAGTTAATTATATCCAGTACCTATTAATTGTACAATAATACCATATCACATTATAATAATAACCGAGATCCGAATTTCATTCACCATCGTACAAGTCCGACCAGCATTATGATTTTTTAGCGAACCAAAATTAATCAGCCACACAATGATAAATGTAAATCAAATTAATTAAATTAAATTACTATAAAATATGTCAGATCCACTATATATTTTCTGTTTTACCTGTTGTACCTTAAAAGTAATTTTTATTATTATTGCATATATCATTAAATACTACTTGAAATGATTACTCCGAGAATTATCAAATCACATATTTATTTTTTATAGTATTCCATTATAAATTATAATATAAAGTGTATATTTTTAAATTTTTAATGTACGAGTATCCGTCTATCTGTCCTCTATTTCTATCTGACTGTCTCTCCATTTTTCTCCCTACCATGCTGAACGGTTAATGACATTCAACGGGGACGACAGGGTAAGCGTTTTGGGGTGTCAAATTCTAAATCTGACAGTGGTGGTAGTGGAGGCAATAGTGAATGTTTGCGTTAACCGTTCATTTTCGATTATTCGAATTATCCGGTACAATATTGACAACGCGCCATGGGCAATATTAGATTACGCGAGGCCATTAGCTTGTGCCGACCCTGTCCCCTCACTATATTTTGGTCAGTGTACACATGCGCGTGCGCTTGTGTAATAACAGAGTGTGACACGAATATAGTGTTAGGACCCGAATGGGGCATGAGAAATCGTAACCGTGTAATACTACGTAGTAGTATACTGCTCACGACCCGGAAAATGGCTAAACCTTCATCCTAATGTCCTACAGCGGACGTGAAAAATACACACCCGCCCACTCGCATACACACATATATATATATATAGTACACAATGGTCCTCACCACTGACTGTTAATAGGAAAATATTGTCTCTGTGACGACGGCTTAACCGGAATCGCGATTGATATCCATCGAAATTGCGTTTGCGCGCGCACACACACGCACATATACGTCACTTACATAGCATGCAGCGACGCTAAGTTCCGATTGGGTCGATAGATGGACTCGGAGAGGGATCCACTCGAAGGACCTTCATAAGCGTATCTAGACATATATATTGTTCATGGAGTATGATAATATGGCTGGCTCTTTCCAATACCAATACGACCTTATAATATACTATACCTAATAGATATAACAATTTTATACGAGTAAAACTGAAAGTTATTCATACGCAATGTAAGATAGTGTTAATGAGCTTTTATACATTTTTTTAGGATGTTCGCTCTATATTCTAGTCACTTGTGCAAACCAGTATTTATCTGTAGACTACTATCTATTGTCCAAAGCTCTAAATAATTTATAATATGCATGTTATAGGTGGACACAATTATAGCGTATAATTGTGTGGCAAGAGCGGGAAGTGAGCAATTTGAGTGAAGGTGACGTTTGCGGCACGAACCGCAGTCGAGGGCTGCATTTCTCCCAAGACTAAAATTTCTCACACGAGCTACACATTCTAGTTTCATACAGAACAGCATGGGTGTAAATCCCACCTAACAGCTATATAGTATCCACCTACTATCACATTTCAATCTGATTTGGACAAGAAGGCCAAGTGGGTATGTCCACTATTCCACCCTCTGCATTCCGGTATTTCCACTAATTAGCCAGCCAGTCGGAAACAAAAGATTTACTGTCCGTTTAACGGAAATACAAACGCTTCGACCGGCATCGAAAATGATACTCTCGGTGCAGGTATGACAAATAAAATATGTGAACAGCGAAAAATGTTATTATTTTTAATTCATAAAACTATGTCGTTTTTTACAAGTTTTGCAAACGCAGCAATAATTTTTAGGCTCAACGTGTTTGGCGGGATGGAGAGGTAAAATACATATATAATATTTTAAACAGAGGCCTCATTATTTTGGGGTCCCGAGGCACTAATGCGTACCGTTGAATCCGGCCCCGGGGACACGTGCTATTTGTCAACACTTTTGGTATAATATACATACGCTACCTATAGTGTTTATTATTTCGCGTTTTCGGGGACGACCCGATGAGATGATATTATCATAATGGTATTTTCGTCTGTATCGGTGCAGCAGGCAATATTATTGTGAATTTTACAGAAAATATCATAAAGTCACTCATCAAATGACGCAGTTAATATTAGCAATAACAACAATAATGCACAACGCAATAATTATAATTATATTATGTACCTGGCAAATATCCGATGCGGCGTAATACTTCTCCAGCGTCTGGTGATGGCGCGGCAACGAGTCGTCGTGAACGGACATCTGACTTCTGTGAAGTGTTAAAGTTTTGGACGCCGACCGTCGAACGTGTGGTATGGCATATTCTTCCTGGGCGACGATGTCTCGAACATCTGCAGGACATTTTTCAATCGACGTTAATAATATTAATTTAACTATGATGTAAAATTCGTAAGCTCAGTTGTAAAATAATAGGTACTAAACGCTACAAACTTGTTACGAAAGAATATTATACTCGTGTTTGGACGGCGATATTATTACATTAATACCTACATGATAATATATTTTTTTTATGAATGTATCAATTTATTTTAATTTTGAACAAATAATTTGGTACCTATTTATAATGTAACGATATAATCAGTAAGTAATCAAATCGCAACGATATGGGCAGCCACTTATTTCCTACGTCTTACCATTGACTGCTTAGTAGACGTGAGCTCCGAGGGGTATGCAAGATATATGTCACTGAAAGCTTTGGGATTCCAAGAATAGAACCATTCATATCCACATAAATGTTTACCAGTCTTTATTTCTTAGTCTGAATAAGTTTGAAAAACTCAATATTAAATAAACTTAAATTTTCATTTCGGCTTTAGAAATAAATACTCAAGTACGAGATAGAGGAGTTCAAACCCCTTGGGCTAGATAATAAAAATATGACATGAACTTACTATTAGTCAATAAATATTATTTTCATTTGAGTTTTTAATGCATTTTATGTTTTAATGACAGTAAAGTGTGATTTAATTCAAGCACTTTTTTTTTTAGTAAAGTGTTCAACTTTTTGTATAGTTTACCCCGTTTATGCCTAAAAATTAGAATGTATTTAATTTAAATGCTGTTCACTATTATGATGACGAAAAAATACAATCAAGTTCAATAAAGCTTACATTGTTCGGAGCAAATACTTTTCGAGAGTAATAAATTGTAAATGAAAAATTATTGTACATTAAGCCGCGATGAATCTTAATTTTGATGTGAAAGTCGAAACTACTTACACTGATCGTGCGTCATGGTCAATTAATTAACTAAATGGCTAATGTAATATATATATACCTAGATAAAATGATGAGTTCGAAATTTTTTGGTTAACTTTTTTAAAATCAAAGAATTATAAATAATATATATATTTTAACGAATTATGATTAGTAATATTCGTGTTGACTGAGTGGAGGTTTTTATTTTATGAAACAATAATATTTCAAAACTCGTTGGTGCACAGTGTACACATTGATAAGCGCCATACGACTGTGCGAGTCACGTATTATACTGTGTACTTATACATAAAGTTTGAACAAATACAAAAAAAAAAAAAACGGTTCAATACGATATAGTTGAGAAACGTTCAAATTTTTATTAGAATCCGAGTCACTTTGCCGTCACGGCGTTGCTGTGTGACTACTATCGCTGGCCCGAGAAACCGTAGCAGCTTCTAGAACGGTGTGTATAATATATATTTTTTCCCGACTGAAAAAATGTGTGCATAACAACTTTAATGAAATTTCTTTCTACCCCCGTCCCGCCACACGCCTTATCCACCTAATCACGACACATTTCCACACGAACTGTATAAACTTGGATAAAAAAAAAAAAAAAATACAAAATAATAATAAATAAAAACAAAAATAAATTACTCAGTCTTCACTACGTTCGGGTGCTCGCGTAATATCAATAACAACCACTATTACTATACCAGCGTCGTGCGAGTATACGTTTTGTCCATTTTACCGACGACAATCGTCGCATAATATTATAATGTGTAGGTTGTAGGTACCATGTGTATGTACATATACATAAAAAGGAATATGCCAACGACCTAACCATCAGCTATATAATATATTATGTTGTATAAATATATCCACTATAGCGTATCTATCTGGCACAAAACGAGAAAAAAAATACCCCACACCCAGGGGATGAAAATGCTGATTTGAGGCACGGGGTGTATTTCGAATTTTTTTTGGAAACGGCCCAAAACGGTTTCACACGTTTTTATTTCGCTCTCGGGTGACATTATAAAATACATATATGCCTTATGGAGGTATAATATGATATAATAGGTTCATCATATAATATTTCTTTAAAGACTAAACTAATATAAATACTAATTAAATGTTTTAACTTGAAGGCCTGTGAATTAGCATGTGTATATACCTAATAATAATTATGTATACAGAATAAAATAAATAAATAATTTAACATGCTTCGGCCATTATTTATTTTTTGATCGTCTTTTCATAATTATTTAATAATATAAATTTTTTTTTTTACTTTTATCTAAATTGTTTAGGTTGTTGGATGTTTTTTAAATATAAATTTAGTATAAAAATTAGTCAAGTAAATTGAAACATGTTTTAAAATCATTACTACACACTAAGCAAATTTAGGGGCAGTCCTACCATTTAAATATCTTATCCAATAAGTAATTAATAATGATAGTAAATAAATAATGAGCTATTGGTTCAGAATTTAGAATTCATTAGGGTAATTGCTTTTATATTCCCCCACCATGACTACCGTCGGACAGTATTGTGTACACTACTAATATGGATTGTATGGATAAAAGCACCATACACCTCATGGTACCTTTCACGCACTTACCCGTGTAATCTGGACTTAAGAGCACCGATGGTCGGCGTGCCACACCGTATGGTCTTTGGTAATTGCTGTTGCTCTTGTCCGAGTCGTCGTCCAAGTCTACTTGACCATATACGTGTCCGTTGGCGTTCACCCGCACCGGAAGTTCCTGAAAAAAAAATGTACGTACAGAGTTAATATTAATTATTATTTTACCTTATACCATCGTATACACTTGCACTGTGGTTTTATTATTAATTATTCTTATATTGTGTGTACTGTTTAGGTTTCTATATGCATTATTATGAATTATTATTATACCTAACACATTTCATTCATATTCCCGTACATACAAAGTAAAAATACATTACTTATTTGAAAATGTATTCACTAAATATTAGGTAAGTAGGTAAGTTATAGATTAAAGGTATATTTGAGCACCAAAAAGTATGCATTTTGGTACGAATATTGTTCAATATATACAGACAACCGTGTTCTATTACTATAGACAACTACCAATGTTATTTTTTCTGTATGGGTCATGGTAAAATTTCTTCAGCTACTGGGTCTAGCCAAAATTCCTCTTCCGCCATCACGTATAAAGCCTAAATGATATTCATCCACATTAATATTAATATTATCATTATTATTATAAAATAAAAATCACGAGCAAGTATATTATTCTTCACAATTGTATAAACATTAATAAATGTGTTTTTTCGTTTGACATATTAAATTCATTATTGTATATAAACTTATGGACAAACGGACAGTAGTCATTTTTTAATCATGAAGATTAAAACTTAATTTAAAATAAGTTTTAATATTCATGATTTAAACTTAATATTACGAGTTACTATAGGTTTATCACTATATCAGTCTTCAGACCCATTCTGACTTACATTTCTATGGTTCCAATTATTTTTGATTGAATTCAATTATAATTTATAATATTATTTACAATATTTTTATTCGTTCTTATTATAGTGGTATCATTGTCTTTTATTGACATTAAATAAAATAAATGTATCTTAAATGAAAATGAAAATGAAAATGAAAATAATATAATCAATTAGTATTTAAATAATAATTTTCAACATTCATTTTTTTTTTAAATCAATAAAAATTATATCTTCATATATTGTATTATTATCATGTTAATAAATGATATTTTTGATGCAAAACAAATCGTTGGGCTTAAAATATTGGTTTTATAGTTAAAGCTGAAGCTTGAATAAAATTTTCCTTAGTTTCATTCGAAAATACATTTAGATTAAAGTGGAAACGGAAAATTGTGATTTAACTTGTTTTTAACCACACAATGGACAATGAATAGACTATCGCGCTGAAGTAAAAAAAAAATTCTGAATTTTGTATATAGGTACTAAATTAATTAATTACATAAAGTGGAATACATCAAGACTGTACCATTGAAAAAATATAATGCTGTAAAAAACGCATAATTGATTACCTACCATTACGATGGAACTTTAAATTTGAATTTCTAAAATTTATTAAAAAATAAAGTTTGTAAATACCTAGTACGTATTAATAAAATATGATAACAATATACACCAAGACTTGATAAGTTACCGATTTTTTTTTAGTTTACGAAAACTAAATTCAAACTTTTTAACTAAGTTAATTAAATGTTAATTAAAACTTTATGTACATATATGTTAGGGTTAATAAATAAACTGTCAGAAAATGTGGTTACCCGTAAATACGAGACAAAAAAAATGCATACCATTCCCTAAAACCAATACTCCCTTCACTCCACGTAAAATCTAAAAGTACATAATTTGTTAACTAAGATTCAAGTATTTTAGTTAAATATTATTAAAAATATTACCGAAGTAAATCTGCTCTGTCAAATAAAATTATAAATAATAAACTTATCTACTGACTTACTAAATTTGTTTACTGTAGTTATAAAAGTATAAAACAAATAATGTGGTATAGATTCAGTACAAAGATCAGAGAGCTAAAGGATTTACCATGCTCTATGTTTGTAATTATATTGCAGAAGACCAAAGGCAAAATATTATAATAATTAATCATTCGTATATGGAGTGTTGTAGGGTACCTACTCCTAAATGTTGGGTAAATTCAATATTACTCGGGTAAATAATTGTATACATATATATTATAATATAATACCCTGTTTCAGACGTAAGAAGTTAACTCGTAGGAAATATGAATTGTAAGATATAGCTAATCACAAATATCAATTATCAAATCAAATATCAAAGCAAATTCTTCGGTAAACAACCAGGAAGTATATAATTTATGTATCATAATAAGTTATTAGAAAAACCGTTTCTAAGAATTATGTACGGTTGTTGATTCAGTAAAACGTACCGACGCAAGCTTAAAACTTTGGATATTTGTAAAATAATTTAAGATATACTTATACTAAGATCGAAAAAATGTATACGTAAAGTATACTAAAATACATCAATACTCTCTATAATATAGTAAATATTATAAATATTATAATATAAATATAGTATTGTAGAATTTAAAAAGCAAAATTGTATTGTCTATATTATATTCAAAACCTATGTGATAGGGTGTTTCGCCAAACACGTCGCTCCCATTTATCCTTTAATGATAATTTGATTTGTTCGTACCATTTTATAGAATGCTCTGTGGTGGTAGGAACTTCTATCTTTAAATGTGAACTATTTTTTTTACTGTTATTTGTTAAAAATATGAGTTTTTTTTAGAAATAATTGATGTTTTCTAAATTTAAATTTGAATGAGTAGTGTCTTAGCTATTAAACTATATGTTTTTAGGATAATATTCCTTAATAATGGTTTTACATCAAATAAATTCAATAAATTCAATAATAAACAATATTAAATAAATAAAATGTGTACATCTGATATTAATGAGTCTAGTATTTATAATGTTCAGATAATTATTACAAAATAATAAGCATAATATCTTATTTAATAATCATCATATCTTATTTAATATTCATCATAGACCCCATAACTTTAAACCTATCATATCATGGACTATTTTCCGTACTTCTTAGTCCTTAGTACATACAATTTAATTAAATGCCATAATATTACTTACAAGATCGGGAAGAAACTCTATCTTCTATTCACCGTCTACGTTTAGACCCAACTGGCTACAATTATCAATTAATCTATTCAAATATACTTTCAAACCTGTACCATAAAGGTATGAAACATAAAATTTTAATATAATTTACATATCTTAATATTTTTTGTTATCTCCAATGGCCGCTGGGGATGCATTCAATAAATATAATAATAAAATTTAATAATATTCAGAAACTACTTTTTCAAATCTCGAACATTAAAATACATAGATATGCTACACAATAATTTTAGAAAGAAAAAGGTAGTTCATATATTTAAAAAAAAAAGAAGTTTGTATCTTGTAAGGACACCTCTTATAAATGTAATAAAATATGTATGTATTTAAAAATATGGTATTTGAATATTATATAAAATACTTAAAAAATACAAAATCAGAATTTAAATAAATTCGTTATTAGAAGAAACAAATACGAGTGAGTATACCTGGTAAATCAACCTGTACATTATGATCTAGTTTATGATATCATTAATTGCATAAATATATTTTTTTGCTGTAGGTATATACCTAATAATGTCCATATTAAAGAGAGTTGCTCAATATGTTTCGATAGCTGAATCTGAATTCGACTAATATAATATATTCTATTTTTATATAAACTCGTGGTATGTATTTTAAAAATTTTTTAAAAGTTTTAGAATTATTATATTCTACAAAAAGTGGTTCAAAGAAGATAATAATAAGGAAAAGGATCATTGGAAACGACTTTGAGGCTTATAAAAGGTGGATTATTATTGACCAGAACTATAGGTACCAATTACATTATAGTTTATGATACTCGAACACCAACTGTGTTATAATAATCTCAAATTAACCCAGTCCCGCGTACCTACCTACTGCGGAAATTAATAATCAAATAACTTGGGTATACCTAAACCATTTGTGTAAGCATAACAGTATCCACTAATGATGACTATTTCAGCCGCAAAACTAGTATTAACCGTAACGTATACTCATATAAAATAATCGAAATTATAGATAGTAAAAACGCATATAATTAATATAGGTACAGTCGATTACTCGAATCTCAAAGGGAATAAAAATAAATTTGACTTATGTAATTTTTAAGTCGTGTACACAAATACAACTTTGAAACACTTCAAGGGGCAAGAGATAAAATTCTAGTCATAAAGTTTTTTGAGTTGGTGATGTTCGAGTTATCACGGCTAGACTGTATAACTTATATGTATCTAAAGCAGCGTGATCAGTATAGATGAAATTTGTTTTCAAAGCGTATCAGAATATTATTAAGTTATATTATTATTATATTATCGTTTATATAATGTATTTAATATAGATTCCCACAAAAGAGCGATAATTCGAATTCACAGGCTTTTGCACTTTTTATTTCGATTAATTATTTGTCGACAACATTGTACCGGTTGTATGTTAAATACCTACATAAGTTATGTTCTTTTTCGAACTTCGATCGTATTTTAAAAATATATTGTTTTTTATCATTCATATCGCTTTATCGGCGTATGCTATATTATATATTATGCACACATAAACAACTATCTATATTATAAGCTTAAATATTCTCATTAGTTATGATTGATGATGTCCATCAAGAAAAATACAAGTTCAAGTATAGTAAGTAAATATTTTTTTTTATTTACCAGCATATTTATTTTTCCGCCAAAAGTTCAGATGATTTTTTTACTGTCCGTTAGTATATAATATGAAGTATTGGCTTTTTATTACCTTAGTAAAAAGTTTTGAGAGGCTAGGGGATTTTCCAATTTTCCCTTCCCATTTAGTACTGAGTACACAGTACCGAAAGAATTACATATTTAAAAGTACGCCGGTTATAATAATATAAGAACTACCAAAAGTAAACATATGCCATACCTAATTTTTTTTTTTACCAAGATTGCTTATTAAATACCTATAACTATTAAAAATACTATAAACATGAACCTTATTTAGAATAATTATTGACTAAATGTTTTACATTTATATTTAAATAAATACTGCCAATTTATACTAGAAACTTTTTAAGAAGGTACTTTACATATGTTATTAGTTGTTAT